TAGTTGAATGCATTCGTTACACAACTTAGAAGTGATGTGTGTCAACCCCCCCGAAATCTGGTTTTGACCCAAATGCTATCAGTTGGTAATTAAGCAGGTCACTTTCCATTGTTCTGGAAGAAGATCTATAATCATTGCATTGTTTTAATAAGTAAACTCCAATGTTTATTCTCCAGTTACAAGAAGTTCTACAGGTTACTATCTTGGTCAAAGGAAAAGTAATTACCACCACCAATCTGCCACTTCTCTCCCAATCTGCTCTGCTCTTACCAATCAATGAACACGCCTTCCCCTCTGTGTCTGCCAGTGTGGGACCCGTGCACAGCAATGTATTTTAAATTCTGCTCACATATGGTGAGCACTCATTGGCTCATTACCTGTTCTTTGACAGGAAATAGCAGTGTGGGTGGGGGGTTAGAGGGGGGCAGATTGGCGGGGTAATTCAATTTTTCCCAAATTTGCTTGGGAAAGTGGAATTACCCTTAAAGGTCTTTTTCGCACCAGCACTAGACTGGTGCACTAAAAACGCATACACAGTTATTCCAATGGTTTTAAATGAGACTAGTACACACCACTTTGTTCAGTTCCAGAGCTTTTTAAAAAAATAAAAAATTGCATGCATTTTTCACACTGGAATGCACAATTATATCACATTATATGATACATACATCTGTCTAGAACATCCTTCTGCTGTAGTAGTATACAAACAGACCGCACTATCCATAGAATTCCAATATTAATATTCTAATATTAGAACCTCTAAGAATACTAACGTGGCTAAACATTTTTGTCACCATCATAATAGTAATATTAAGAATATGAAGGTACAGAGTATAGAAAGAGTTGATACACCTTTAAGAGGAGGGGATTGAGCTTCCCTTTTGTCAAAAAGGGAAGTATTCTGGATTTTCAAGCTAGACACTCTCATCCCTAAAGGTTTAAACTTTGAGTGGGATGTCACATATTATTATGAGTGATCTGAGCAGTCATGAGTTTGATGGATTTTGGTCTTTATTTGTTACTTGATAATACATTTGTGCTTTTGACATTCTCTGAAATATTGAGAAGAAAGTTCTGGGCAATTGCCTGGGACACCTGTGTTAGAAGATCTGTTTCTCGATGGTTCTTAGAATATAGTATTTAAAAAAAAACCTAGGACAATTCAGCTACTTTTTGGAAGTTTCTCTGTTTGCCTAACTAGCCTTAGTAGTGTAGTTTCCGGATAATATCTATCATATTTGATGTTCTTAGAACATATATTATATGATATTTATTATTTACGTTTTTATATAAGACATTTATGATAAGAAAGATTTTTAGTAATCACCGGTTAATTAATGGATGGATAATATTTCTAGGAGACTATGCTAATGATCAACGTATACCCATTAATGAGATGTCTCAATACTTTATTTAGAATATTTAATGTAGAATATTTATCGTCTTTTATGACATTGTAGGTTGAGAATGTTCTTTACATTGGATATTTCATATATGGGTAACACATTATCATTAAGAGGTTAGTTTGTGATTATTTTTCCGATTAGGCACCTAGAGGTATTAATATAATATGTGATCCATATAATTGTTTTGTTCTTCTTTGTTGACCTAAATGGTTAAACTTAAATCCTTTAGACTTATATGCCCCAAACATCAGGCATTTGGTTAAGTTATCATGAAGAAATGAAGGAATTACACACATTTTGCAGTGAGTTTGTAGAACCTCTTGTCCTGTACTGACAGCTGTTGGTGGATTTCTTGTAGTTCATTAGTGTTTTACAATGTGAAAAAAGTAAAAAAAGTATGAAAAAAGTAAATAGTGTTACTGGATTTTGATGCACTGACACTTCAAATGCGCAAAGGTCTAACTTAGTGGTTATTTTGCTTCATCTGTATGCTTGCTTTTGTTCTGCTATGGCTTGTGACTCCATTGATCATTTACTTCCATGGTAAATCAGAATCACCATTGAAAATGATAGCAGCAAATGCAACAAAGGGGTCAAATATCAGGGAGATCTTAGTGCTATTAACATCAAAGTAAATGTATTGACTCAAGCTCAAACGTTAGCAGGTGCGGGTGCAGACACCTTTGAGAACTACAAAAATCTTTCTTAGTTTGAAGTTAATATTACATTACTACAGAACACAGGTACACATAGATACAGGTCTACACAGGTAGACAGGGCAAAATGTATCGTCACACAGATACCTTTCCGTGGCTAACTAAAAATATTAAAAAGATCCAAACTTCTCAGCTATAAAACTACTTGTTCAGGTATGATGACATAAAAAGCTGAAATGGCAAAATACAGATATATATTTATCGGAACAAGGGCCATGCATACACATAAAATGTTCATTCCATGGTATCTGCTTCCCCATTGTACAGGCTTCCACAGACATGATAAATAGTTGTATTTTAGTTATTTTTAGCAGCTTGTTTTCATTAGCCTAAATGTCTTCCCTTAAAATTGCATTACTTGGCTTCATTATTTCCGGTATGTCCTCAAACATAAATGCTCTTTGCAGGGACGTGTGGTCAGGGGAGGCAGAACCTCACCTGCCAATATGGAAGAGAAAGCTGTCAGCTTCAAACCTGAAAGCCTCCCCACTGTGTAACCTGTCATCAGTAGAGCGCTGCCTGTTCATTACAGGTGATGCTTCATCCAGCTTTTGACAGCTACATTAGGTTACACAGCTTCCTCGCTGCTGTGTGAAACCTAATACAGTAAGGTCAGAGCTACAACAAGCCTCTGACTTGGAGTCAGAGGCTTCAGCTCTGTGGATGGTTTGGATCAATGGTACAGCATCACTGGTCCAAGCCGTCCAATTAAAAAAAAATTAAACAAACCACTGACTCATCCATTTAGATGCCTCGTGAGGGACAGGGAGGCTCCTCCCCGTCTTCTCCTGACATGGCATGGTGACCGAGGATGCCTCACCTGCCACTGACCTCACCGCTCATCCCTAGCTTTTAGTAGTTATCCTCTTTAAAAAAATTCTCATTACACTCTGTAAACAGGAAAACACATCCACTTGCGAAGCATCCATCTGCTTACAAAATATAGACTAGACAATTTTTCATACATCGTATGACAGTTACTGGTTATAAACAAGATCAATCATAGGCTAAAATCAAAGCACATCTTGATAATGAATTCAAGTAGATGAACATGAATTGCTAGTAGGTGAATTACTTTTCTCTGCCATTGGTGAACTACAACATGAGTGGACAACCGGAGTCCCCAGTTCCAGTCTTATAAGCAGGAATGTGCACTGAACAATGGATCTTCGTGTCAGGTGATGAGACGCTGTCTGAGGATCTGAGCACTGTATTTCAACTTTATATGTGTATGGTCAGCTAAACATTTTAACAATATAAATCTGGAAATATACAACAATGCAGCTTTATTATATACGTCTGTATTATAAGTCAGACAGTGGTGATAGCGGTAGTACAGTCTGTCTAAAGATATACTGTATATTCAACAATTGGCATTTTATAAATGTAATGGTTAAAGGATTCAACCCCAAATAATGTGGGTATATATTTGGTGGTCGATTATGTATGATGTTTTTATGGTTATTTTTCTTCTTAATTCGGACAAAAACATGAAAACATCTTTTTTTTTTTTTTTTTTTAGTCAGGTAAGTATGAAATATTGCTTATGAATATTTTGTATTTAAGCCAACAGATGAAGCTTTAGGCCTCATTCACACAGCTTAGAGTCGGCCCGTACAGATCTGTGCATGGCCGTATCGGGCAGTTCCCGGGAAGGACAGGTGTTCTTTCCTATGGGAGGACGCGGCCGTACGCTGCTGTATGCTCACCCGAGCTGCACATCCATTCGGGTGTCCGAGTACGAAGACCCGCACGGATGTGCAGCTATACCTCCATATATGCAGCATCTTGTAAATGTATCCTGTAAAAAGAAAGGTTGGTAATTTTGTTGTGCTGTAGATTTACTGCAGAAACACACGAACAATACAAACCATCTTTAGCTGTTAATATGTTTGAATGCACATGCAAGCCATGACTGTGCTTTAAAGGGAACCTATCATAACAATGGTATTTCTAAAGCCTAAACAAAAGTTGTTGTATCAGTAATATCACACTGTATAAGAATCAGCTTTGCTTGAACATAAGTGGCTTAGTGGTTAGTGCTTCTGCCTAGCAGCACTCGGGTTCCTGTTTTGAATCCCGACCAGGTCACTATCTGCAGGGAGTTTGCATGTTCTCCCTGTGCTTGCGTGGGTTTCCTCCCACACTCCAAATACACGTTGGGAGGTTAATTTGGCTGCTGTCTAAATCGGCCCTTGCATGTATGCATGTGTGATAGGGACCTTAGATTGTAAGCTCCTTGAGGGGACTCATGTGAACGGGCACTATGTAAAGCGCTGTGTAAATTGTCGGCGCGATATAAATACCTGCAATAAATACAAAAAAAATTAGTAACAAGTATTAAGCACAACAATTGTAATAAACACAGATTTAAGTATTAGACCTGTAGAACATAGTTACTTGCACAGGCTAGATCATTTATTTGCTTCGTTTCACAGATTATCAATAATATAGCATAACCTTACATAAATGTTTGTGTGTATGCAATGGTTTTAAGGAGACCTAATGTAAACTTTACAATATTTGCTCTGCCTTAAACTAACATCCTTTTCCTCTCAGTAACAGCAGCTCTGTCTCACACAGGCCAGGCATAGGGGCTCTGATAAGCCTGTGTTCCTGAGCAGAGTCGCTGTGTAGGCTGCCAGCAGCTTGGCTTCCTTGAAAAAATATTCCTTTTTTTTTCCTCTGCAAACTCTCCTTAGTAAGTTTAGGGCTTACCACACAGGAACAGGCCTACACATTGTCTGCTGACCTTTCACATTTCCACAGTAGCTGGGAGGGATTGTGCGTTTTTTCCGTTCTTTGTTAAAAAAGTTCCCCCACCCCTAGTTTTAAACTTGAATGCAGTTCAAAGGGGTTTCTTAAAGGCTCTCAGTAAGCACTTAGAAGCTGAAGCGGATCTGTGTGTGGAGAATAGGGGACCATGGCAGAAAGGCTGTGTGCTGTAATATACTTTCTTGGGTTGATCAGTTTGGTCACCACTTCTTCAGTCAAGCCACATATCTATACAGCTGGATCTTCTCCCATAACCTCAACACTTGAAGTGCATGGGATATCTACATTCGCTCATGGTCTACCTGGACATGAGGAGTCGATTGAGAGGAGGGATGTTTTACACCATGGCAATAAGCATTCAACAAGAACTGAACTACCAAACAGCCAGGGGACAAATTCTCCTCCTCTGACAGGAGTAGCGAAACCGAATCACGGGTGAGTGACATAGTTGAATACCATTACTCAAAATGATTTATAAGTGTAACATCCTGGGGTTGATTTATTGAAGGTGAACCTGTGTGCACATTGAATACCCAATTGTGTGAAATGAAAGAAAAACTGGAATTTTCATAGCACATGATTGGGTGTTCAAAGTGAGCACGGGTTCACATCTATTCCAAACATCTTGCTGATGTATGCATGTGTGTTTGCGTGTTTTGTGGTTTTTATTAAACATACAAAAATAAAAATAAGTGCATCTTGTTTTTACACTAGAAAGGTAAGATAACCATGGATCTTTGCCCAGTAGACAGCAGTCTTTGGCACCTACATTACACTACATTGGTGAAGGTAGCCTGTAAGTCACCAAAACATGGTGGTAAGCTATTAGAAAACAAATACATTTAATGCATTACTAAAAAAAAATTATACTGTATATCAAATATCAGGTGATCATCTTATTATTAACCAGTACTTTCAGACAGCAACAGAAGACTTGTTTGGTCTAGTTCAGCGGTCACCAACCTTTTGGACCTCATGGACCACTAAATTTATCATTGTAAATCCTGCGGACCACTAATATGAATTTTAAAAAATATACATATATTCTCATATTTATCGTTTCCTTATATATAAATATATTCTCATATGTGTGTGTGTAAATATATATATATATATCACACACACAAGTCAGAATATATTTATATATAAGGAAACAAAAAATATGAGAATATATCTATATATACACATACAGTATACTGTATATACACATACATAGGTGAAGGGGTGTGCCTTCAGGAGTGGCAGTGCTGGTGGCGGGAGGGAGCGGTGCCGCCCGCCCGCCCGCCCTGGCCCAGTAATAATATTAATTGTT